CTTGGGGAGTAGAAGAACTCCCAGAACCCCATCAACCAGGTATCAACCAGCTAGTGGACCAAACTCTCACAAGTCAGGGGGGAGTAGAACTCCCAGAACCCCATCAACCAGGTATCAACCAGCTAGTGGACCAAACTCTCACAAGTCAGGGGGGAGTAGAACTCCCAGAACCCCATCAACCAGGTATCAACCAGCTAGTGGACCAAACTCTCACAAGTCAGGGGGGAGTAGAACTCCCAGAACCCCATCAACCAGGTATCAACCAGCTAGTGGACCAAACTCTCACAAGTCAGGGGGGAGTAGAACTCCCAGAATCCCATCAACCAGGTATCAACCAAGATATCTCTGAAGATGGTATAGGCAGAAGGGCAGCATCTCCAAGAGCCAAGAGAGAAAGATGTTGTCGTTCTACCTATACAGTGTTGGGCCTGACAGTTCTTCAAGAATGATGGTCTCCCTGTGGCCTATTCCCCCTCCCCCCATCGTGTGACCCCAAACACCTCCCCCCCCCATCACCCCTCCCGCCTAACCCCCCCCCCCCCCACCCCTGTTTCACTATGGCTTGCAGAGGTAGGGTACAGAAGGGACCTTAATTAACGATGAAATTAATTACTACGGCGGTTAGCGATGACCCCTCACGCCGCGGGGGCGCAAGAACCGGCTAATTGTATCGTTATTTGTTATTTTCTGGTGTGTGTGGTAGCGTTGCCAACTCCGTTGTTGAGGACCTTCAACATACCTTGGGAAGGCTGGTGGAACCCTGAGGTGCTTCCATCTTGAAACGTTTACACAACCTTCTTACGAAACCAGTAGATCTTTAAGGAAAGATGGTGGCTGTGTTTGTATTTATTAAACAGTTTACGAGCTTCGTAAACATCATAACCCAAGGTTATGATTATAAACAAATCCACAAGGGCCGTGACGAGGATTCGAAATGGATTGTCACGGCCCTTGTGGATTTGTTCATTTGATGCATCACGCTGTTGTGATTTCTGTGTGTAAGCAAGGTTATGATTGTTATAAACAACCTCGTTGTGCCTCGGAGCTGATGAACTTTAATAGATGCGTGGGTTGTGAATCAGCATTTCAGCCACGCTATTGTGGCTCGCCGTCTGCATAAACTAAGCTGCCATGGTCAAGGAGAGATGCACAGGACTTATGAGTGGACATGCAAGTACTTGACCGATCCTGGCCCAGATAAATGTTGTAATCGTTCTGTTGAGAAATGAGAAACCAACAAGAACAACCTCATCAACCTCACGAACTTCAACAAGCTCGATAACAACCACCACCACCTTAACAACAGGTGATTATCAAAAGAATAACCTCAATCCCACATCAATCGGCAGAGTGGTCAGCTAAACCGATCTCAGAACATCATAACATCATATTAAGACATTACAAGAGTCTTAACACGTCAAAACTTACAAAAAAGTCAATACATTTACACCACACACACACAGAGGCTCATGTCTCACTTTCACTAATTAAGAAAGAGAAAAAAAGTGAGTCTCCCTGGAAGGGTGTTGGAGGCTCCTTCCTTCTTTAATTAACAGGACTGGCCCTGGAGACAGCCTCACCGGGGCCCCTCTGGGCTCTCCACAATGTGTGTTAAGTAGGTGGCCTCCCGTATGTAATTTGGGAGGGCCGGTGTATTTTATGGAGTCCCAGTCTCCGTCTCTCATTATTTTGCCGAAAAAGGGTAAGAGAGAGAGAGAGAGAGAGAGACAGAGAGAGAGACAGAGACAGAGTGGCAGAGAGAGGGAGGGTCTAGAGAGTTTCTGGTTTTCTATTAGATTCAAGTGACGAATGAGGTTTCGTGTACTTCGATGTCTTAAACGCTTAGTGGTTTATGGGGGTTTTAATTGAGAGTTTACAGGGAGATATTCTTGCGTTGACACCAATCTTGACATCAATCAAGTGTTGTGGTTATATAATGTACTGGCGTCAGGGTTTCCATTTCATGTGTTACTTACATCACTTTCCCTGACTTGTTCTGGCGCGTGATTGTTCTTTGTCTGTCTCCAGCTGTCCTACTCCCGCCTCGGGTGTCTCCAGGTGTTCCTCTCCCGCCTCGGGTGTCTCCAGCTGTTCCTCCCTCGCCTTGGGTGCGAAGAGGAAGCTGATGTGGAAGCCAATGCTCAAGTATTGGACATGTTTACAGCAATAGGTGTTAATGGTGGTTAATGAGAAGGCCGCCGCCTGCTGGTCGCGCCTCTGGGAGTCTCTGCAGGGGAGACTTCTCTAACATGGCTCGCTGAGCTGGTGCCGTATTTAATGGTTTATACTGTACTCACCTAATTGTAACTGTGTGTGTGTGTGTGTGTGTGTGTGTGTGTGTGTGTGTGTGTGTGTGTGTGTGTGTTTGTGATATTCATATAATTCATATCATCGATGTAATTAAGTGAAGATAAACATCAAAAGTTATGTATATGTATAAAATCCGAGATACAGTACACACACTAACAGAGACCTCTAGTGCGTTAAGGGGCCCTTTACCCTTAAATCGGCATCACTAACAGGACCCCGAATAGTTTTCAGTAGGGAATCTATTGGACATCTGCAAAAGGTTCCGGATCGACCGAGCTGTCGTGTCTACGATCCCTAAATCCAGAGTAGTGTGGTGGTAATGAATCATTTTATCCAGCTGTTACTGTTCTTCTAAGCTTTGTCTGGAAGTCGGGCATATATTCCCAGAGCATCGTAAGCTTTGTCTGGAAGACTGGTACATTTTCCAAGAGCATCGTATAGAGGATTTTTGCGTCCCCAAGTAAGCTTAATAAGGAAAGCAACTTCTGGGGAACGTCAAAACTTTTCTTGTAATACCGCCGTGTTAATGACGCCTTCATCCCTAATGACAATATATTTAAACCGCTGATCCTACCAAGTTTGGACTTGAGCCCCGGGAGGACTAATATGCCTTAAGTCTGTGGTATCTCATTCGAATAATTAGCCCCGCTCCATGGCAAGTAGATTTATTAATAATTCATGACTAGAGCTAATATTACAGGCTCGCTGAGCCTTCTCCACCTGCGTGGCAGCCTCGATGGTGTCTTCTTCGTCTGTGTGGCAGCCTGGATGGTGTCTTCTTCGTCTGTGTGGCAGCCTGGATGGTGTCTTCTTCGTCTGTGTGGCAGCCTGGATGGTGTCTTCTTCGTCTGTGTGGCAGCCTGGATGGTGTCTTCTTCGTCTGTGTGGCAGCCTGGATGGTGCCATCCTGTGGGGCTGTTGATCCCTGGAAGCTACACTAGGTAGACACAAGATAGTGCCAGCAATAATTTATCAATGAAAATGATCCTAGAGTGAAGGGGGAGACTGCTTGATTTTCTTCTCGCCAGAGACAAATGTAAGCACACAAAAAGAAGGTCTCCGTGGTGTAGTGGTAAGACACTCGCCTGGCGTTCCGCGAGCGCTATGTCATGGGTTCGTATCCTGGCCGGGGAGGATTTACTGGGCGCAATTCCTTAACTGTAGCCTCTGTTTAACGCAACAGTAAAATGTGTACTTGGATGAAAAAACGATTCTTCGCGGCAGGGGATCGTATTCCAGGGACCATAGGATTAAGGACTTGCCCGAAACGCTACGTGTACTAGTGGCTGTACAAGAATGTAATAACTCTTGTATATATCTCAAAAAAAAAAAAAAAAAAAAAGGTACTACACCTGGCAATTACCTGGTGTTGGATGAAAGGATCAGAAGGGAGGCTGAAAGTCCCTGTGGTCGTTCCTGTTATGTTGCGGCAGCACGCTCGCCCCGCTAGTGATCTGAACTGGGTTCGAGTCCTGGGGCAGGATTCATCATGCATCTATGCGTATGCTTATGAAACCAGTATATCTTTCAACAGTCATGTCGGCTTTTTTACATTTATTATACAGTTTTCGAACTTGGAAACTTCACAATGCAAGGTCATTATTGTTATAAACAACCTCGTAGTGATTCGTAAGAACATAAGAATGAAGGTAACTGCAGAAGGCCAATTGGCCTATACGAGGCAGCTCCTATTTATATCCATCCAAACTCATTCATATACATGTTTAACCTTCGCTTGAAACAATCACGGTATCCTACGTTTATTATGTTAGCCGGTAATTTGTTCTACAAATCCACAACCTTGTTTCCAAATCAGTATTTACCCAGGTCTTTTCTAATTCTAAAAGCAGTCGGGTACTTCCAAGATCCAGAAGTACCCGACAGCATAAAAAAAAAGTAATTGAACTCGTTTAGAATCAAGTAATGGTGGGAAGAAGACCTACACACATAAGACTTTGGGCATAAGACTTTAGAACACACATATGGATAGATCAATTGTATTTTTTTAATCAACAAAACAGGATAGGGTTTAAAATGACTGTATTTGCAGTTTTGTAGATTATCTCTTAGCTATCCAGGAGTTGCTCTGAGTGAGAAATATGATGGATTTAATTAATAATTTGGCTGTAATTTTAATGCCTAGGGATTAAGAAAACGTCATTTAATATTATTATTAATTGGAAGATCAGTTGTGGGAATGCAGGTTTTAATATAATTTGTACTTATTTAAACTAGCTTGTGGAGCCCTGGTTCAGTTCCCGGGCGGGTCAGAAATGGTTGGGCAGTTTCCTTTCACCTGATGTCTCTGCTTACCTAGAAGTAAATGGGTACCCGGGAGTTAAAGCAACTGTTGTGAAGTTGCATCCTGTGGAGGGTCAGTAGTTCGACCTCAGGGGGGTGGGGGGAAGGGTATCTTGATACACACAGGCTTCCTGTCCCAACCTAAATTAAGCAGGTTACTTTTGGAAATAGTCGTTCTTGTAGACACACACATGCACTCTCTTTTGCTCAACCCCCACAAGCACAACTAGGTGAGTACACACACACACATATATACTGTGTATACTTTGTTTTTTAATTTAATATTTTTCATTAATTCCCTGCTGTATGTCGTGTCATATTCTTTTAAAACTATTTTATAAATCAATGTAAAAGGAATAACGACTACAACCTCGTTATTATTTTTCCAGGGAGCAGCGTGGTGGAAGGAGAGTTTAGAATTACTAATCAGAACTTCTGGCCAGGGCTGGAGAATCCCACGTCTGAAGAGTATAGATCGATGGCCCAATCCGTAGAAAACGAGGTGAGGATTGGTTACTGTGTAGTACTTAGGCTATGGTATGTTATGTCGGGATTTCCAGTTTGTAGGCTGGAGCTGGGGGGTAAGTAATTACTGATTAGTAAGAATTTAAAACCAACAAAAATCAGTGCAGAACTGTTAGGAATAAAGCAGAGACTGGAGGTGTTCTTTGGTAGGACTCTGAGGGTGTTTTTTGGTTGGGCTCTGGGGATATTCTGTGTAGGGCTCTAGGAGTGTTCTTTGGTAGGGCTCTGGGGTGTTGTTTGCAAAGGTCCTGGGACCGCTGCTGTTCCTGATTGATGTGAACGACCTACACGAGGGATTGAGTTCGTACGTGTTAATATATGATGTAAAGTTGATGAGAAATGTAAAAACATAGGACTGTGTGAAATAGGAGGTGTCATAGGAGGACCTTGACAAACTCCAGAAGTGAGCAAATAGATGGCAGCTGGAATTCAATCCCAACAAGTGTAAGGTAGTGAAGATGGGAAAGGAAGATTGGAGACCATGAGGCATCTATTCCATAAGAGGACGACAACTACAGGCATTGAGGTAACATTGGCAGTATATCGGATGCTGGCAAATATTAGTACATCGTTTAGGAACCTACAGTAAATCGGGATTCCTTCACGGCAATCTATACAGCATTTGTTAGACCAGTACAGTACTGGAATATGCAGTAAGATTGGTGCTTGGGCTAATAGGGTTAAGCAATGAGGATAGGCTAATGGAACTAGATCTCACAACCTTAAAGGATAGAACAAATAGAGGGGATATGATCACAGTATACAATATACTGAAGTGAATAGACAAGGTGGACAATATCAGGCTCTTTTAAATAAAGAGAAAGTAGGACAAGAGGACATAAGCAAAAGTTGGAAATACAAAAAAACTAAATCAAGAAATGTAAGTTTTTTTTATAGTTTCTGTATCAGATTTTTGCTCCGTGCCTGGTCAGAGACCGGGCCGTGGGGGCATTGACCCCCCAGAAACAACACAAGGTGAGGTGAGGTGATGAGGGGCTTTAGGTAGTTTATAATGGTTGAACCCCATGCACAGACACCGTATCTTAGATAGGGGTAGATTAGCGAGTAATATAATGTAAAAAGAGCAAGGTAACTCATAATGAACAAAAACATCCAGTTTTTTTTACATGGTTTTGTATACAGTATAATGCTTTCATATTTTTTTCTATAGATGAGTAGGTAATAGTCTGTAGGTATATGAAAATATACTTTCATTTCACACAGAAATCATAATAGCATGATACATCAAATCCGTGTGAGGTCGAGTTGAACTCCTGGTTGCAATTATTTTACCATGTCGTAGCTCAGTCGATTAAGGCGCGTCTGGGATCCTCTCAGACGTAGGTTCAAACCCTCATCACGGCCCTTGTGGATTTGTTCATTTATACCTTCATTTACTATGAGACTTGTGTGTGTACAATGTACTTAGCTGTCTTCTGTTTTGACACAATCGAACAAATTTAAGATGCTGGTTAAACATTTTATTAATTTCATGCTAATAAAATATAATACTGCATTTTTAAATAAGTTAAATATTTGAAATGTATCAATGTCGTAGTGAGATGTATTTTATGCATATTAATGCAATGTTTTTCTTTCAGTTGGACATACTTTTTCTTGGGTCTCTGTGGTCACGTGAATACAACCACAGTCAAGTTATCTCCCTCTCTGAGGGCTCTCTGTTAGTGAGGGCTCAGCTGGTACTCAATAGAGCCGATGTGGCTGCAGCTCAAAAATTAGGCACAGCATTTCTTCGGGGCCTCCATAAGCGTCATGGGCACGAGTGGCTCGGGCAGTATTCTGTCGATATCACGTCCATTAGATTCACCGAGGTGTTAGTCGACACCTTAACTCGTTCCACAACCACTCCACCCACAACCACAACTGCTGGAGTTGAGGAATCCTCAACAGTTATCATGGAAGCCTCGCATCGCCTTAACGTTGGGTGGGGAGAGTGGGGTCCTTGGTCAATCTGCTCCCCTTGTTTACCACGGTATGACCAAATCAGAACTCGAGAGTGTCGTCTTGATGCGGGTCGTGGTCTATTGGTCAACAGTATTGAGCCATGTTTGCCATCAGGCCTTGGAGGCCAACTCCAGGGCACTGGTGGTGATATGGTGACAAGACCATGCCAATGTGACCATACTGTTGATACTTCCACTACCACAACAACTACCACATCTACAACAACTACTACAACAACTACAACTACAACAACTCCTGCACCATGGAAAGATGAACAGCCTCAAAAAGAAGAAGAACGAATTGATGAAATGAGTACAGGTAAATTTTTGCTTAATAACTTTGTAATTTTGTTTTTTGTGAATTTAATGCTCACAACATAAAAGTTAATTTATACTTTTATGAAGATTTTTTTATTCTACATCATACAAATTGGACATAGAGAATGGTCTTAAATTTAAAAGTTCATTTAGCAGTTTATAGTTATTATTTTGGCGTGCAACTTTAGCAATTTATGGTGCAGTATTTTGTTTTGACACCTTGTTTTGTTGACTTGTGAAGCATGAGGGGCATCATTGTTACCATAGTTTTCATATACTAGTCGTAGTTAAATGTGAAGGATGTTAGTGAAAAGTTAGAGGGGTCATTGTGACTTCATTATCATATGGTGAAACATAAGAGATGTCAGTCTCATAAATAGGTAGGCTTTTTCAATGATACTCTGTTCATGGGTCTGACGGCTGAGTGGACAGCACTCGGGATTCGTAGTCCAAAGGTTGGTTGGTTTTCAACTAACAAACCAGTCTATATTTCAATCTACTTGTCTGTCTGAATGAACTTGTCGGCAAACAAATTTAACCACATCTAGCTCATTTTTCACGTCCCCAGCCTCAAAACTTATTTTCAAAAGGTAGCAGAGCCGTGTGAACGAAAACATTGCCAACTAAAAACAAAAACACACCATAGAATTTGGTTTAAAATATTCTCAATACTGTACTATTTCCCAAGGCTCTGTTTCTTGTAATGTTGAATCCATCAGCAAATTCATCGAAAACGTAATTAAGAGCCATGTTAAGAGTGTGTTGCCATTCATACCCTATTATATTTCCCCCCACACTAGGCTAATTTCACAGGAGTGAAATTTTAATTTAAAGTGGCTTTAAATATGCTCAGTGGTTTTTCAATGGACCCAACTATGTCTTGTAGTGTTGCCTCCATCTGTGAACTCATTTCCAACATCCTAGCAAATCCACACATCCTCAGCTTCAGCAAACTCTAGTTTGTTAAATAGGATGAGTAAATCTGGCATGTAAAGTGTGTGTTCCAGCTGGAAATTCACCGAATCGAGGTTCCACTATATGTATTGTATGTACTGTACTGTACTTTGTTTCATGGGAAATGTACATTATCAAAGTGCAGTGACCTTCTGTATTTGAACATAAATAAATTCTTGTAGATGTCATTAAGCTTCGATTTTTTGCAGAGCGGTTGTGTGACTCTTGCCTGCCGGGTGAAGTATGTGTTGGTTTACAGGGTGAGCCGTACCCTATCTGCCGAATAGCACGTGATTCTGGAGATAGAACAGGTAAGTGTATTGTTTCATTAAAACATTATTTACAATGTCTGCTATTCATTATTTCTTTTTCCTACAAAATAATACATTTGAAATTTAAATTAATTCAAACATATTTACCACTCCACTGCCCATCTCAGAAGTAAGATTGTATGCAAAGTCTGTATATAATCATAGGATCCTTAAGAACAATATTAACATTAGCATTTTAATAGTGAATTGCTTCTCTGAATGATTTTATGTGAGAAAATGTATGGACTGAACTCTCCTGTAGCCATGTTGATATTGTAGAAACTATCACTTGATTTACAGTCATAGAAGAATATAATACCTAGTCCAAATCTACAGAAGCAAAAGTGGAAATCTTAATTGGTGGCATCGAGCAAATGATATACAGTGTCCTCAAATATGTTTGCCTGATCATCCTAACCTTGCATATCTGCAAGCTCATGGAGAGAATCCTAACAGAGGGAGTCATTCACCATCTCGTTGTGAACAATGTTGTAAAATCAATTTAACATGGTTTTGGGGTCCTGACTTGCAAAGGAGGTTACCTTACTGCTCTTGAGGAGAGTGGTTTTTCTCTCGGTGCATGGGCTATGGTTTCATCTCTGGGTAAAATGTTCTCCTTATTTCTGATTAACCTGGGTGCTCCCACTGTTTGCCTTCTCGAATTTTCTTGCTGACCTGGGTACTTAATTTCCTGCTGTCACTGGGGGTCTTACGTTGTCTGCCGCTGTGGTGTTTGTGTTGGTTGGGAAAGCGGATTTGGTTGCTGGATCTAGGGAATTCCCTAATTTGCTCTGTTGACAGATGAGGATAGTGTCTTGCCCTCTCTGTCTGAGAAGCATAGACATGTGTTGCCAAAACGTAGTAAATTTTGCCATGCTTTGATAGTATCCCGTTCATCAAGGTCATTGGATCCTCTGTTCATCTTTCTGATGAGGGCTGTATATTTCCTGGCAGCAAACGAGAGGGATGTCTTTGGGATGTGGGTGAGTGTTCTCGTCAAGGTTTCTATAATTACCTCTTGCAGGTTGGCTGTTGTGATGTAATCTGCTTGCTTTTGTACCTTTGCATTTCGATTTTGAGTGCTCCCTCCTTCCATGGGAGGTATCTTTGGCCCAGGGCAGTTATTATGCATGCGTATAACCTTAGTGATGAGGTTGATGTTTTTCCCACAAATCCTGCTACAACTCTCAGAATTTCTTAGAAATCCAATAACTGTATTAAACACTGGAACAGCAGAGGAGTTAGGCTGATAATGATTACCTTGCGGATACCTTCTGAGGATCAGTGAACTATGGCTTGGTCTCTGACCAGGCCTTCTGGTTGGTGATCTGATCAAGTAGACTATTAGATTCAGCTGCCCACAACCTGAATGTGCTGTTAATATGCTATTTTGCTTTCCTTTATAATAAGACCATATTTGTGTTTTTTTTTCTAGGTTGTGGTGGTCTGTGTGCTATTGACTCTGAAGTGTGTCAGGCACTAGGATCTCGAGCTTTTCAGTGCCACAGTGCCTCTCTCTGCCTACACGATGAGTGGCGCTGTGCAGATGGATTATGCATTCCACATATCAAGCGATGTGATGGTCACATGAACTGTTACGACCAAAGTGATGAGCAACACTGTCGTGAGTACTATTACTTTAGCAACACTGTCGTGAGTACTATTACTTGAGCAACACTGTCATGAGTACTATTACTTGAGCAACACTGTCATGAGTACTATTACGGGGGGCAGTATTTTTCTTAAGAATCTTAACTTTTCAGTGATGTTCGTATATATCTTAATTAGGTATTCCAGGTAGAAATGCCTTATAGTTTTCACTTTTTGTTTTAATAATTTTCTGTGTAAAATCTAAGGAATGTATATCTGAAAGTTGTGATACTTGTGTATGATAAGGCCAGTTAAGGTCCCTATTGTTACTGTAGTCACCTGGTGGGCAGATATTGAATTTATTTTAATATATCTTAATAGAAGGTGGGATGACCATAAACTAAAATATCTAAACAAAATTATAATAAACATGTGTTGCACCATAATTAAATCTTAAGATTTGCTCAAGCAATGGTCATATTTTTTGGCTCCATAAAAAATGTAAATATTATATTATTCTGTATAAACGTTGTAATCAAACCCTAAGTACAGAAATCAGCCTATTGTACTACCCGTATACTAGACTCATATTTATATATGACAAGTGTCCAAATGTTGATACAAAACACTATGTGGCATCCCCTCCCTGTGTAAAACTTTTAAGTTAACTGCATCAATATTTGTCCAATGATGAATTTCACGCAGTTCTTTCTAATTTTGTAATCTGTCATCAGGATGTGGACCAGATAAATTCCAGTGTGGTAACAACACTTCTTGCCTGCCAGTAACGTCCAAGTGTGATGGCAAAATGGACTGTTGGGATGGTTCTGATGAAGCCAACTGCACAACCTGTAAGTAACATATTGTATGGTCTGGTTGTACGCACTTGCGTGATCTTTGCACCGAGTTTGATAGTGAGAAAGCCCTGGTCTACACACATCAATTCATGTTCTCATAATTTTTGAACAAATATGCAGTATTTAGAGAATAGTTCACAGTAACATGGCCAACATAAACTTGCACATGAAAAGAAAGTAAAAAGTAAAAACATTGTCACTTTACCTTCTTTTCATATATGTGGGTTGTGTTACAAATGCTATATACAGTATCTGTTGGATCCTATATAATATTTTTGCAATAAGTGTTATTGTTAGAAATTATTGTAATACAGTTCTTATTGTGTAGATCAAAGCTCCTAGTAATGCTCAAAGCCACTTAAAATCTCACAGTATTTCTGCTTTCTTTCAGTCACCTCACTCCTAGTTTATAAAGTAATTCACTGTTATCTTTGCACTGTAGAATTCAGAGAAAATATATATTATAAGGAAATTTTGTGACGCTGTTGATATATTTCTCAGATAAGCTTTTGACTGAATTGTAGGATCTTTCTAATTAGTAAACTCATGACAAAATCTATTATTATAACTGTACTCCATTATTATTTATAAGTAGATATCCCAAGAACAACACACTCAGCGCTGTCCAACTCAGACTTCGAGAACGAAGAGATTCGCCATTCCTTCAGCTTTAAACCTCTGATTCGCCCTCGAATTATCCAAACTTAGCCATTGTAGACTTGGTGGCAGTACTGTACCCATCCCAACCCTAAACCATCTCGGACATCAGTAATATAGTAGTAGATAGTAGTACTGTAGTTTTCGTTTGGTTTTATGAACAAACTGTTTTATTAACCACTTAGTATATTGCAAAATGGCATGGCTTTTTTAAAGCACTTGAATTCTTGCATGCTCATTCTAATAAATTTGTTCATGCATGTTCAGTCTAATGATGTTTTTGTTGCATGCTCTTTTTGCCTGGTCTTGCTGACACGACCTAACATCAGCAGAGGGAGGTAAGGTCAAACTGAATGTCATTTAGCAATTCTTGTGTTCATTATGGTTTTTTTAGCAATTATTTTACAACCATTTTTGTTTAGAAGTGTTAAATTGCATGAAAAATAATAAATTAATTGTTTTCTGTTACTAACATCTTCATGCTTTGAACCACTAGAAAGGAATTATCTTTTTAGAGAGGAAGAAGAGGGCCAGTTAAAGAGAAATTGTGTGATAAAATAAGTAAATCATTGTTACTGTAGCTGGCTTCTACTTTCTCTTATATCTGTTTTTTTTCCACTAAACAGTATTCTATCACGCAAAACTGCGTATTCTGTCACCTTCCCTTTCCCACTCCTCAACCCTACTTTCAGCAGCGAGTCTCGGTTCTCAAGTGTCTGACAGCGACTGTGTGTGTTTCAGTGTGCCCCAACTCTGACACTCAGTTTACTTGCCGCAGCAGTCAGTGTATCCCCCAGCACCAATTCTGCGACGGGTTGGCGGACTGCAGGGATGGGTCAGATGAACCCTTCGGTTGCTCTGGAAGGTGTCAAGCCAACGAGCATCAATGCAGGTAGGCACTCTACTCGCTAGTCATGAAATGAGACTATCATTGATCTTTTCTTTTGCGTCTTAAATTATTCTAGTTTCAGATACTCAGTATTTTATATATATAATTATTTTATATAATTCTAAATATAGAATTATAATACTGTAATAAAAATAATAATCATAATAATAAAATACATTAGTGTTAAGAATAGTTTTTGTATTTAGTACTAGAGCCACAAATTAAGCACATTTCAGTCTAAGTTTGAAAGCTATAGTATGTTGAGGAACAAAAAGTTGAAAATATACGTACTGTAATTAGAAATGTGGTTTCACCTATAAGTGCTCTTATCAAAACCCATACAAGCAAAATGTTATCCCAAGTAAAGTCAACATGGTATCTCGTTTTTTACATTGTGTTGGAGTTTAAGGGTTTAGTGCTCTATCCCAGGAAACTCTTGATTATTCTTAGTTTATTTGTCCCAGTTGGTTATCAATTGACAAAATGAAACTTATTTAATGCCTGCCTTGATATTGCATGTGTGTTTCAGATGTTATTAAAATTTTTACTTCACTGATGTAATCTGAGTGTTTTCATAAAACTTTGCACTCATATTACCTTAGGATATAGACGCAGGCTAAGATATTAGTTTTGCGTGTACATGTTTGTGCTCGCTCCATCACCATGTCATCTTTGTGTGCATATGCAATTCACATGGGTCTCGCTTGATACTGCTACTTGGTTTTGTATGTGGTGTATACCTCAAATCATATATCAGACGTCACCCTATCCCCACTGGATTTTGAAGAAGCCATAAACAGTATGCCTATGCACTCTGCACCAGGCCCGGATTCTTGGAACTCCATATTCATAAAGAACTGTAAAAAACCACTATCGCAGGCCCTCCACATTCTGTGGAGACAAAGCCTAGATACTGGCGTTATTCCTGATATACTAAAAACAGCAGAGATAGCACCACTTCATAAAGGAGGAAATAAGGCAGAGGCAAAAAATTACAGACCGATAGCGCTAACATCGCACATCATAAAAAATTTTGAGAGAGTGCTAAGAAGTAAAATCACAAAATACATGGAATCACAGCAACTCCATAACCCCGGACAACATGGTTTCAGAACAGGGCGCTCTTGCCTGTCGCAGTTGCTGGACCACTATGATATGGCATTAGATGCTATGGAAGACAAACATAACGCGGATGTAATTTACACAGATTTCGCAAAAGCTTTTGATAAATGTGACCATGGTGTTATTGCACATAAAATGCGTTCAAAAGGAATTACCGGAAAAATAGGCAGATGGATCTACAATTTCCTGACCAACAGAACCCAATGTGTAATAGTCAACAAAATAAAATCCAGCCCATCAACCGTGAAGAGCTCAGTCCCCCAGGGTACTGTGCTTGCTCCAGTACTTTTTCTCATCCTCATTTTGGACATAGACAAGAACACAACCTATAGCACTGTATCATCCTTTGCAGATGACACTAGGATCTTCATGAGAGTAGGCAACATAGAGGACACGGCGAACCTCCAGTCAGATGTAGATCAGGTCTTTCTATGGGCTACAGAAAATAATATGGTGTTTAACGAAGATAAGTTCCAGCTCATGCGCTATGGAAAAAATGAAAATATAAAAACGGAAACCACGTACAAAACTCAGGCAAATCATAACATAGAACGAAAAGGCAATGTAAAGGATCTGGGTGTATTCATGTCGGAAGACCTTACCTTTAAAGAACACAATAAAGTAGCCGTCACAACTGCAAGAAAAATGACAGGTTGGATAACAAGAACTTTTCACACTAGAGATGCTATACCGATGATGATACTTTTCAAAACGCTTGTGCTCTCTAGAGTGGAGTACTGCTGCACAATGACAGCACCTTTCAAAGCTGGAGAAATTACTGACCTGGAGAGCGTGCAGAGATCCTTTACTGCTAGAATCCACTCGGTAAAACATCTAAACTATTGGGACCGACTAAAGAGCCTAAAGCTGTACTCCCTTGAACGCAGGCGGGAGAGGTACATAATAATTTACACGTGGAAAATATTAGAGGGGCTGGTCCCAAACCTGCACACAGAAATAACATCACATGAGACCAGAAGACATGGCAGGATGTGCAGAATACCCCCGTTGAAAAACAGAGGTGCAACTGGTACTCTGAGAGAGAACTCTATCAACATCAGAGGTCCGAGACTGTTCAACACGCTTCCACTACACATAAGGGGCATAACTGGCCGACCCCTCACAGTGTTCAAGAGAGAACTGGATAAGCACCTCCAAAGGATACCTGATCAACCAGGCTGTGACTCGTACGTCAGGCTGCGAGCAGCCGCGTCCAACAGCCTGGTTGATCAGTCCGGCAACCAGGAGGCTTGGTCGACGACCGGGCCGTGGGGACGCTAAGCCCCGGAAGCACCTCAAGGTAACCTCAAGGTAAGGTACCTCCCTACCTGTTATTTACCTTTCGATGACTCCAAGGATCAACGTCCCTGTGGCCCAGTCTCTGACCAGGTCTCCTGGTTGGTGGTCTGATCAACCAAGCTCTTCGGCATAGAATGAAATACTGCATTTTTAGTATTTCACTCATTTTGTTGTTATCTGTGAAAGCTCCATCTCTTGTGCAGGGGCCCCAATGCTATATATAATTTTTTTTTATCTAGATTTTGCATAAGACAAAATATATTTTGGATTCCTCTCTTATTTCATTAATGGCCCTTTGCTCTCGTTGCATCTCCTGAGTTGTATATGATTTTTGCAGCTTTAGCGCAGTTGTTTCTATATAGGCTTTCTTTTCGTTTTTGAGATAGGGTGGGGCATTAAAGTTCAAAGATTTATTTTCTTCACCTATAGAGGAAGTACGTTTCCGATTCCAATTTGCATATTTTTCTCTCTTTTGGTGGTATATCTCTTGAGCATATTTCTAGAGCTATTGAACATATTGAGGCATTGATTTAGGTTTTCATTTTCTAACTGTTCTAACTGGTTTATTTCTATGAGGTCTTAATTTATTAGTTCCCAGTTAATCTGTTTATTAATCAAATTTAATTTGCTGAGTTATCCTCTAGAATTTGGGACTGGCTTTGCAGGTCTATTTCCCATACTTGTCTGAAGCTGTTAGGTTGTGATCTGAGTAACACGTATTTGTAATCATTGTTCTGAATCAGGTAATCGTTATATGTGAAAATAAGGTCTAGTGATTTTTCTTTTCTAGTTCTACCATTTGTTGGTTTAAGGAAAATTTGTCACATATACATAAGTCATTTGTGTGTGACTGTTCACGTAGACTACTTCTTGGGATTCTTAATAATGTCTTATTCTTCTTTTTTCTTAATAATTTTGGGATGATGAGCATTCAAATTTAAAATATTTTTTAAAATTCCAGTTATTGCTCTTATTATTTTAGGACTAGTTTTAAAATATGCGCCTTTATATTGCGAACAATTTGATACCAAAATGAAAGACGTAAGACAAAAATTTATGTCGTCAAACTGAACGAGTATACACATTAGGCTGTGGTGTGCAAGTTGGTGCTTGTTTAAAGGTAAATTTAGGCTTTGCTGTGGGGAGTCACACCGGGCTTTTGGACAGTATATGCATATACACCTGTAGGGAATTTAATTGCGAACACAATGATACTAAAACGAACGACATAGTATGAGAATTAAGGTGAGAAAACTGAAACAAGTATACACATTTTACTGATTTTGTGCGCTCACTGGTAACTTTTGCCGACTTTAGACTTTGCTGTGGGGAGTCACACCGGGCTTTTGGACATTATATGCATATACACCTGTAGGGAATTCTATTGGGAACACAATGATACCAAAATAAACGACGTAGCACGAGAATTAAGGTGAAAAAACTGAAATGAGTACAGTATACACATTTCGGTGTTGCTGCATGTCACCTGCACTGCCGGGAGCATGACGTCAAGTCTGTGGTGCGCCCGCGCTGTGTGCGAAAGTGTTAATGCGTAGAACTTTAAAGCTGTTCGTGGACTTATAATAAATAATGCTGTAATACTAATACTTGTAATTCATTGTGTCGAAGCACAGGAAGCCAGAGTGTATTCATACAAATTTTGGCTTTTATCGAGTTCCCTCCTCAAGGCCGAATTACTGACCCCGCCCAGGATGCAACCCCACAAGAAGCTGACTAACTCCTGAGTACTTACTCACTGCTAGGTGAACAGAGGCATTAAGTGAAAGGAAATGTGCCCAACCATTTCTGTCCCGCCTGGGATTCGAACCCGGAATTCTCCAGAAACTGTGTAACGGGCTAAACACTTCCAATTCAGTTCAAAGCCCTATACAGTATTTAGCAAATTATTATTCAGTTCCTAGGCAGTCAGTTTTACTTGGCAACAATGTCTTAATGAACAGAGCCCACAGATAATTATTGCATTATTTGTGAAATTTTACACAAATATTACTTTTTCACTCAGATTATATAGATTATATAATGATAACAACTTTTAAATTAAAGAGTAATGTGCAAAGTTGACTAAGTTACTCCAAATCTGTTTCGAGCAGTATTGAAGGTTTTCAAATCAAACAGAAAGTTATTATTAATACTGTACATAAAGTTTGAAATAAACTACTCCATTCAAGAGTTGAGTGAAGCAAAAGAGAAAGTTGGGTTAACTATGGTCTTGACCAAGTGTTGTTCAGTGCATATTGTGGAGATATCAACATCAGTAATGTTTAACTAGAACAAATTGCAGTAATTAGTGTGCTTATTTGTGGCAGTGGATTTGGATGTTTCATTATAATACAGAAGATAAAGCTTTAAACAACTCACACTGCATGTAAAGATCCAAGTATACAATGTATGAACTATATATTCTAATAGGATCGTGATCAAAAAGTAGTCATGGTCTACGAAGTTCTGTAAGTTATGGTTCTTGATGTCATTACAGGAATAGGAGATGCATCCCAGCTTCCAGCCTCTGTGATGGTCGGGACACGTGTGGCGACAGCAGTGATGAACAGGACTGCAATAGGACTCTCATCACTGTCACACCGAGAACGGGAGCTCCTCTCTTGAACCTGTCAAATACTAGCAGTTGGTTGGAAGCCACTCTTCTAAATGTTTCGAATGCAGGAGATCCTCAAACAACAGCAGCAACAACTGATCATACTTGGCTATTACATCTTGGAGGCAATAATGGCTTGAGCACGGAAAGTACAACTCCATTAAATGCTCTTCCCTCGTCTACCAGTACCAAAGGCCATGATGGAGCATCTTCTGCTTTATATATTGTGACTCCAGTGGAAGAACTTGATCCATCTACATCCACCAAGATTCCACAAATTTCTACAAGTTCTAGTATTGATGAAAAAGCAAAAATTGATTCAGGAGATAGAAATTCTAAAGGCGTATATATTGCAGGTGATACGCTATCACAGTCTAGTAGTGGTAATCATGGGAAGTTATTGCCTGTCATGGATAGAGGTTGGCGACGAACTGCCCAAGTCATGCCTCGTATAGAGGAGTTTGGGAACTTTTTTAGTTCAAGATTGCAGGAAGATCATGTGCCGATCTTCTCCAAAGAGAATTCTGCAATTGACAGAACTAGTTACTCAGTGCTCCATGAAACAAATAAGTTCAGTGTTTTAGACAGTGCAGTCAGCAATATGGATATGCAGGGTAATAGAAGAACCATACTTGGATTCAAAATAAATATTCCCATTGACCAAGATGATGTCTAATTGCTGTATCATGAATTAGAATAATGATCGGTAAAAAAAAGTGCTGTGTGTGTGTGTGTGTGTGTGTGTGTGTGTGTGTGTGTGTGTGTGTGTGTGTGTGTGTGTGTGTGTGTGTGTGTGTGTGTGTGTGTGTGTGTGTGCGCGCGCACGTGTGAGAAAATGAACAACCATTTTGTAATGGACAATTTTTTAATAAATGTAAAAATGGATGTACAGTGTATGGAAACTGTCAAAAGTCAGCTGCTATTTTAGTATATCAGTGTTACGAGATGAGAAAAAATATATTGATCACAATGTTAATATATTGATGTTGTGAGAGGAGAGTCCTTTTTGTATATCTAGTTGAGAAATACCAAAGATTGTATGTATATTTTGTCCTTGGTAGGACCTCATGATGTTATCTAGTCTGTATGAAAATGTACTTATTATGTATTAGTTCATTAGCCTCAGGTAAGGTCATTGCTGCCCAAGTGAGTTTTGAGAGAGTTCATCAGCCTCAGCTTCATGCAGTGACCATGCCATGGAGACTAAGGTTGAAATTTCTCGGCTTATTTTCAACATTTGTTAGGTATGTATTTACTGAATTGAGGAAAGTGCTATTGGATATACTAGGTCCACACCCAAAGTGGACTGTGCTCTTCCCTACCAGTCTGTACTCTGTGAATATGCTTGTTGTATTTTGCTCTCCTTTACTAACCCACAAAGCAAAGGATTATAGATCTTTGCTGTTTGGTTATCCTATTCCTGGTTATGTAGCTTAAGTCATCAACATCCAGTTACTAAAGTTCGTTGGACGTGAACAAAATACTTAGGAACAGGGAGTTTTGACTACGTATTTCATGACAAATATTTATCTTTATACAGATTTGTAATTAATACTATAAATAAAGCATTTATTTGTTTTATTTATAATACTGGATATGATAACTATAGTATTGCATATTAAGTCAATTTAGTGGAACTGTTGTGAATAATATAAAGATTGAAATTGAAGCTCAACAAAACATGCTCTTGGATCAGAGACGTCCTGGTATCTGGATACTAATGACTTAACTCATGGACCATTGACCCAGGTTTGATGGGAGGGATGGTTCAGGACATTGTGCCTTCCTAGTACAGATAATGTACTGTAAAACTTCAGTTCCATATTTTGCAAAAGGTAATGAAGTGGGAGTTTTCCAAGTTGCTGCTTATGTGTTTATTCCTAAATTGAAAGTTGGGGTCGTGAACCCTATCCTATGAGTTTTAAATGGTTTTGTAGCTGCAATCTTGAGTAATTAACTGCCTGAACTTGGAGGCTAATTTGAATACTTCTGCATAAATTGAAATAAAGTCCAGTGGAGTTTTGTTGATTTTATTTCTAAGTAATTGTGCACGAGGCAGGAGAATATTACGTTTCACCTAACTTTGATTTTATCCACCAGGTGTTAATAAAACTTATTTCTACGTTCGTTTTTAGGCGGTTCGGAAATTTGTCATGCCATTATTCAGTCAGTGAATTTATTTGTTGCCATTACATAGGTTTTGTTGCAAAAAGAGTTCTGTCTCATCATTGCACAGCTCAGTCTAACTACTAGTCTCATGGGTTAAGGTTATATAATGAAACTTTTTTCCTAAGGGTTTTGTCCCAAAACTTAGTAGAACCTCAGTTATTTACAAGTTTTCAGGGAAAGCATCTATCAAGTAAAATGTGAATGAGAATCTGTAGTGTTCTCATGGCTTGACCTGAGACTGAACATAAGTTATGTAAACAATACTCAAAAGATCTACGAGTAATCATGCCAGAAGATTTTTTAATTTTTTATTTTAAAGAGCACAATCACTAGAGTATTGTTGCATACTAAAGCCTCTTAGATCTTATAAATTTACAAAGAATATATTTTATCTGCATTGCTTAAATAATTGGAAGTACCTAAAAGTTTAGAAAATATGTAAGGTATTGTTTCCAAAATTTGCACTGAAAAAAATCCCAATGAGACAAGAAGGCACAGTAGAATGTGCAAAAGTAACTATAAATGAAAAGCAGGCTTTTTAATACCATTTAACATCTGTGTACAATTAATACCATTGAAATTACAGATTTTCTTAAGTGTACAACTAGCACATTTAAAAGCTAACGAGTCTTTAAAGATGAACAATTTTAAGATTGCCCCTGATCAGACAGACTTTAATGTCTGTACTAGACTATAAATTGTGAGCAGTAGTAGCCTGTCTGATCAAAACATTAATTAGGACAAGGGGCAGCGATTCTTAGGACCATCAATACGAACAAATTGAAACATTTTTAAACTGGCTTTCTTCACAAATAAAATATCTTCAGATTACTGGGATTCTGCTGGATGTAATGTCATGAAATAAAATATATAAAGAAAAGTGTTGAACATATTTATGGCCAGGTAAATTTAAGTTTACCATATATGCACAAAAAAGAGAAAATATGCAATTTTTGTTGTAATTGATTTATAAGACATGTAAATTTCACAAATTATATATTATTTAAACTAATGTCTGGCCAATTAATACTACTGACATTACATAGATTATTGCAATATACAACTAGCACATTTGAAGAAAACTGAAAATGCCTTTATGTGGTTCTACTTATTGAATGGAAAGCATTCACTAGTCCATACAATATTTTTGCATAGCTAGCTAAAAACTCCTTTTGTATATGTATTCCATAAATACAATATAAATATATAAATAAATAAATATATATATATATATAGCAAAATATCTTACAGTAGAGGATTTCATCATTTTGGTTATCGAACAATATTCATGCCTGCTTTACCATCTGTCATTTATTTTGGTCTAATCACAAAAGGGGGGACTAGAAACTTTGTGAAGCTTAAACAGTGATAATGTATAATTTGCTTGTTAATCATTACACAAGTCATTGGTTATTTTGCTTGACATCTTTAGTCCACTTGTAAATATAGCTGCATAGTATAACAAACATATTGTATTTTTAAGCTTATGTGATATATTTATGTTGTACTACATTTTGAAGTATAAAAATTTTGTAATAAACACAATCTGATAATGTGAATTTTCATAAACCTATTTAAATACCTACATATATATACAGCTTTGTTAGAACTCTATATATGTGCAAGTTTTTTGAAGGAGCTGGGGTCCAAGCTTATTGAAACAACTAGAGACCCTAGAGCCGCCAATTTTCTCTTTCAGCGCCTTAGTGTGGCGATCCGGAGAGGAAATGTTCACTGCATCCATGGTTCCTGCCCGCCATCTGAGGAACTATACAACTTGTGGCAAGTAGTCTTGTACCTTGCATGTAACCAATGTTGTAACCCTTTTTGTGTAATGAAATTTTAAAATAAAGTTAGATTTATATACACACACTAAAAGAATAGGAGTGGTAGGAGAAGAAAATATCAAAGTGTTCAGTGAGGATCCACAAGGTCTTCTCTGAGTACTCATTATTTTCTTCTCCAAGGCTATGGGTCCCTACACTTGCATCAGAGGTGGTACTCCTTTTAGGTGTTAAAAAATATATATAAATATATATATATATATATATATATATATATATATATATATATATATATATATATATATATATATATATATATATATATAATATATATATATATATATATATATATATATATATATATATATATATATATATATATATATATATATATATATATATATATAATATAGTTAAGGATTTTGCACAGTACAATACTGTATATGCATTATTAAGGGGACATAGTTCCCAGGGTATTAGGGGGGGGGGGTAGAAATAGCCTAAGCTACTCTATCCCTTTCAGATGTATTTCTTTCTTGTCTCTATAAACATACTTGAACTTGAAGTACCCAGGGCCTACACTAATACATGCTGGCTTCAAACCACTGCAAATAAATGACTTAAGTGTTCATATACACCACGAATCCTCTTAATTATTGCAATAATAGTAATTATTTGATCAACAACTAGATTAATTTGAATATAATTATAAAATGGGACATGTTAGCACCTCTGGCGGTCAGAAGGTTAACTAGAGTAGAGGTCGCGCGCTGCGCCATTACAGACTAAGGGTGAGTCGAATGTCCGGTCTCTCGCCGCATTAAAAAAATAAACAAAAGGTGTCTTTGAAGGTGGGAGACTGAGTAGGGAAGTCTTCACGCGGAGTGCTCCTAACAAAAGAGGAAGAAGAGAAGGTTGCAATGCATGAATTGTGAGTATAAGGCGGTCCTACAGCCATTAATGTTCAGTGAATTCAAATATTGCAATCACTTTGCAAGTTGCATTGAATATTTTACATATTTTTGAGGGAAACAAAATGATAGCTGTGAGTAGCCTAGTGGTTCAGCACTAGGAACCACAAAGTGCCTAATCAACAAGCTCTTTTGGAGATCTTAGCACTTGGCCTTAGCCCAACAACATGTACAAGGCTAAGACATATTTTGATGAGCATAAATACGTGGGAGTTGCAAATGAAACGAGAAATTTGTGCAATTGATGCAGAGGAAGGAGGAGGACGAGAGCCTAGTATGGTGAGCAGGATTTAGATGTAGTTAATAAGAATTCTAAATTAAGATTGATGGCGGCATAGGTGGTTATTTTATAAGTGATGAATGGGTGTAAATGGGTATATCAAATATACACTTAAGGGTGTCTAATATGTTTAGGTTAGGATCGATAGATTTTGATGGGAAGCTCAGCAATATCAAATTTTAAAGACTCGTAAGGTACACAATTGTGCGTTTTAATGGTATGACAATGAAAAAGCGGAGGAAATGGTGTGTACTCATCTAGTTGTGCTTGCGGGAGTTGAGCTCTGGCTCTTTGGGTCCCGCCTCTCAGCTGTCAAATCAATTTTCTTTTGCTTTTCTCCTTCTTTCTCCACACATTTTTTCTTTACACACACACACACACACTCTCTCACTCTCCCCCCCCCCTCTTCCCAGGAAGCAGCCCGTAGCAGTTGTCTAACTCCCAGGTACCTATCTACTGCTAGGTGAACAAGGGCATCAGGGTGAAAGAAACTGCCCATTTGTTTCCACCTCAGCCGGGAATGGAACCGGAACCCTTAAGACTACGAATATCGAGTGCTGTCCACTGAGTCGTCAGGCCGAGGACAGAGACCATAACATTCAAAATGAGACGTATTAGTCGATAGGATGGAGTTCACGATAACGATCATATGACCGTACAAGCGACGTCATGGTACACTTAGCATGTTTTTATAATATTCACAATAATATGTTGATATCATTCAGCTAGCGTAGCTGGGGGAGCCTATAATGGTGACCAAAAAGTCACACTGTGGTGGTCTTAGTGTAAGGGAGTAGTGTGATGGTGAACACGGAAGTAAAACAGTTGACGTAGCAAAACAATTCATTTGTCAGTTAATCTGCCATTGAAAATGTCATTAAGGGTGTTGGCAAATTAGATCATATAATGTAATTGTTTTTAGATAATTTAGCCACACAGGAGAATAAATTACTACTATTCAGTACTAGTAGGCAAGGTTAGGTAGTGTAATTTAGAGCGCATGGCATAAAGAATGCGCTTTATTCTCACTTAACTTTGGACTATCCATGCTTAACCTGGTGGTGATGTGGTAACGCAGTCTCCTTGCAAACGATTTGGTCCGGGTTCGAGTCCTGACTAAGAACAAGGCTTATCTGGGCGTCAGTCCTTAACTGTTCACCTCTGTTCACCCAGGGTTGCCAGATTGAGCTTCTTATAGCCCAATTGGACTCATTGCAGCCCAACTAAAGTCAACAAAATATGTTGCTACTTTATTAGGCTACTTTTAAAATAATGTTCTGAAAAAGAGTATCAATCGCAAAAAAATATATTTGGCTGTTATAAATTCACGACTTTTAGTCCTTCAGCTCACGACTTGCAGTAATTCAGCTCTGGCAACCTTGCATCCAGCAGTAATTGGGCACCTGGTTGTTAAGACTAGCGGGTCGTGTTCTTAGGAAAAATTAGTGAGGAAGGCTTACCATGAGCTATGAGAAGGGAAAAGCTCTCAACCTCATAACAAGAGTCAATAGTCGTCTGTTCCTGTACCTGTGTGAAAAAAATAGCCTAGTGAGTCATGAGACAACAAGACTCTTGAAGCTGGTTAAATGCGTGTGAGTGATTGTTCACTCATAATCTGAGTGGCATACAGCTGCTCCATTGTCCGTATTTCCTGCTCCCTGCTGTTTACTGCCCTTTCCCTACAGTTCCCTGACCCGCTATACTATTTCTTGGCCCCAACACACCCGAATGGTCAGCACTCTGGGCCCTGAGGTCGTAGCTCCGAAGGGTTAGATTCCGGGTCGAGGCAGAAATAAATAAGCAGTTTCTTTCACGTGATACTTCTGTTCGCCTAACAGTAAATTGGTATTTAATTACCAGCTACGGGCTGCATCATGGAGAGAGAGTATGTGTTTATATTATAGAGAAATATGTAATAGAGGAGAAATAGTTCTGGAGTCAGTCCGTTGGAGTATTCAAATCAAATCAAATATTTATTCAGGTAAAGTACATACAAAGTGAGATAAAAAATTGATGGATTTATAAATAGAGCTAGTACATACAAAGCATAAAGTACATACAAAGTACATAGAATAGTACATATATAAATAGAGCTAGTACATACAAAGCCTAATTTTGGCCCCGTTTCGGGCAGAAATTAGACATTATTAGTATTAGACAACCGACGGTTACAAAGGTGGGGTCCAAGAGCTAAGAGCACGATCCTGCAGGCACAAATAATAAATACACGAAACACTGGGAAATGAGGTAAGGCAATTATCAGAAGAAAGCACTAAGCCACTACGACCATATAGCCCTTGGAAGAGATATGTTGATAAGGATTTGGGATCGGGCGAAGGAAAGTAATGGTGCCCAATCACTTTTACGGTCGCGGGATTGAACACCGACCTGCAAGAAGCCAGATAGTGACTCTACCGTCCAGTTCAAGTTTTTGGACGGGTGGGGGGTTATTTGGGAAATAGAGGACTACAAATACTGGACGCTATGAAAGGAAGTACAATTCATGAAAAATAAACTCGTGTATTCCTCTGTCCCTATAGTCACTGATATTTAAATGATGTAATCAGATAAATATTTTAAGAACATTTATTATTTTTTCTTATTTTTTTCTGGGGGGGGGTGGTGGAGACAGAAAAGACAATTTTTATTATTAATAACTCTTAATACAATAGGAATACTTTTACTAACTATTATTATTAATATATGGCTCGAAACATTTGTAAAGAAAATTATTTGCAATTATTTTTTTAAATATAACCATTCATTGAATGATTCTAGTCTCTAAATAATTCTAATAACTCTTAATTTCCGCTGTGGAATTGATATAATAAAAACAGAAAGCTAGTAGGCAAAATCAATCCTTACCTTGGCCATTGTTAAAATGAGCAGCCTCGCGTCTTGATTTTATCAGAGTTAGCGCTTCGTGAATATTTTGCGTTTTCTTTAAAAAAGCTTTTCACGGTTGAAAGAAAATTGTTATTGGACAGACTAACGTAAATTTAGGCTCTGACGTTCATTGTAAATTTTGGTTCTTGTAGAATTCATCGTCAAACTGCGACATATATTGTGTAGACTATATATTTGGATGCATTTGCCTATTAATGGTTTGGTGTTGGGCTTAATGGTCTCAATAGGACGGTTGTGTTCGTTCTCGACTCTAAATCAAGAATCCCGGAAAGGACAGTTTTATTATTTTATTTCTCTATACAAGAGTTCTTACAGTCTAGTACAGCCACTAGCACGCACAGTGTTTCGGGCAGGTCCTTAATCATAATTTTTTCCCCGGAATACGACTCGCGAAGTCGTTTAACAACCAGGTACCCATTAACTGCTGGGTGAACAGAGGTTTCAAATAAGGATTGGCGCCCGGTCAATCCTCCCCCCCCCGGCCAGGATACGAGCTCTCGCGAAGCGCCGGGCGAGTGTCTTGCCACTGCGCCACAAGGACTGCTTAGGCACGTTTCCATTCACCTAATGTACCTGTTCATCTTTAATTAATTGTACTAGGGTTGCCTCCT